GTCAGGTATATCTTTTCTTGACCAGTCCCCGAAGGCAGGACTATAATGAAATAACCCGAAAATTACCCGTTGAAAAGTGATCTCCTTCGTTAAATTATTGCAAACATGGATTATAATTATTTCGATGACTTTTAGAATTTTCATTATGTGTAATTGTTTTTGTCTTCAACAAAAAAAAAAAATTGTTTTTGTTTTTGCAACACTGCAATTGTTATTATCAATCTATCCTGGGGCCTTAATAATAAATATGGGAACTGGGAGAAGCCAAAAAATAAATAACTTTTTACAACAACCTGTTACAAAGGTAAAATAAATGGTTCAGGAAGTCCTGCTACAGCATCATGTCATGGGGCAAAAAACATACAATAAAAAACGTTAGACAAACAAATTTTCGCGCTATGAAGAAGGCATGTCCATAGATAAAATAAGGATAAAGTATGAACGTTAGAAATCTATCCTTCTTTATTTATCTATGGAAACGTCGAAAAGGGGAAAATGGCCTTCCGTGATTTCAATTCATAAGTACTTTTATCATTAGCTGAAACTTACAACTAAAAAAATAATATGTGCAAAGACTTACCTTCTTTTCAAAGATATTGTTCTCACTTCCTCAGGCGGTTCGTCATCTCCATCGTCATAATCATACGACAAAAAGTTTGAAGTGTTCAAAGACGACTGCGTATCCATTGTAATTGTTGTCTCCGGGACATCTACTGGTTCCATTTCAGTCTTTTCTGTGGTTGTATCGCCAGCGTCAACCATTTCACTACTCATATTTGTTTCACTTTTCTTCTGCTCCTCTTTTAACAAATTCTGTAGTAACACTCCTACGGAACCAAGTATTCTGTTACTATTTTTCTTATTCTTTCTCCTAGGCTTCGTTGGTTTATCATCCAACTTAATGTTCTCTACTTTGGTTTGAACTTCTATTACTGTTGGCATCTCTTGGGAGTTTCCCTCACTGTTCTCACATTCAATTTCAAGAGGTTTTTCTTCAACTTTTTCTGTCACTTCAGGTACACTTACCACACTGATTGTGGGAAGATCAGCTTGTGTTTGCCTCTCTTTTACATTGTGACTTTCAATATAGTTTGCATAGTGTAAAGCATATTGATCTCCGAAATGTTTCTTCCACAAAAGTTGCCAATATTGCTCAGTGTCCAATTCTTCAGACGGTGCCTGATCTAGATTTTCATCTATATTAGCAATCCTAGTTTGATCATTAGACTGATCATCAGAAGTGGAAGATGACATGCTATAGTCATCTGTAGGTGTTGATTCTGATGTCACATGACTTGAAGTCACATCATAGCTAGAAAGAGTGATTTTTGTAACATTTGTCATAGAATCTGTGAGAATTGTTCTAGGGCTCAATATCCTGTCATGTTCAGAACATGACCTTTTTCGAGCCAATGGCAACCATGTATCATCCTTATTATCAGAACTAGTTTTATCTGAAGCATTTTGTGATTTATTACTCTTTTTATATGGATTAACTTTGGAGTCATAAGAGAATTTTCGTTCTCTCATACTCTCATCAACATCTTCTGTTTTTTCGTTGGCATCACTGTTTTCAATGTTGTATATTTGATCAGCTGAGTGTTGTTTCGGAATACTATTGTCGTCCAAAACAAGTTCGTTGTTATCGCCTAAATATGCAGGATTTATGTAGTCACTGTACTTTTTGATCCATGATGCCCAAATGAGTCGTTCTCCATTGATTGCCCAGAATTTTTCCCATGTGTCTTCTGATAAGTAATTTTCATCGAAATCAGCAAGGTTTGGTGCTGGTAAATCTTGATCCATTTGCTCTAATCTGTCATTGTTTGTGTAGTCTGAGTGATAGTCTTGATACGTGAGATCGGCTCCACTGTCGCTAGGCTGTAAAGCGTGAGAGGCCGTGCCATGCATCTGAGCCGGATCATGTTCATCAGTGGAACAATAATTGTCAGTGTGAGATGCACTGCAATAGCAACTAGCACCTTCATCTTTCTGAAATTGCATAAAAATAATTTATTTGCATTTATTCTACTCAGTGTCCCACAAACTATTAGGGGGCGTCCATTAATTACGTGAGATGTTTAGGGGGGGGAGCGGGGCTGGAAAATCGCCAAATTTGTCTCACGTAATTAATGGACGCCCCCTTATGGAAGGTAGCTTGACCCAGAGGTTATTCTAATTTTTCAAGAGTAGCTCAGATATAATGAACATGGACATCTAGTAATTAAAAACAAAAGTGTCTAATCTCCAAGTCTATCATTATTTTAAAAAGTTTTTTAGTCTGACCAAACAATCACCTACAATTTTATTATTATTTATTTATTAGTACAAAAAAGATGCAAATAAACCAAAATTTAATTAAAGGAGTAAACTTAAGAAAACTATAGAATTTCAACCAAATAAATAAATGTGCATTAAATATTTTTTCATACTTTTTAGAGGTAGGTCAGAGGTCAAGGTACCTTCCATAGCACTTTGATTCACCCATTCTGGGACAACCTGTATGTAATGTTAAAAAAAAATTAACTTACATTAAATGTAAGTAATTTTTTTTTGTTGGACACCACTGAATACATCAGATATTTAAAACCTACCTTACAGTAGGCAGTCAATGTTTCACAACACTGGGAAACCACAGCATATTTTGAAAATTATATATTTTTATTATATTATTAGTAAAAATTGTAAACCTATCCTGTAAAAGTATTTATCTATTACTTTTACAGTATGCAACCTTTCAAAACTTGTTTAACCCTAGAGTAGTCGCGCCTTTCCGTGAAACGTGAGTGCTCGCGTATGAGCATTTTGCCGCCCAAACTTAAAGTCCGGTTGTGGGTCAAATAACAGTTTAAAAATATGAAAATCAGTTAAAAATGATAGAATAAAGCATACACTATTAGAAAATAACGTTTATTAAAGATTTGTGGTTAAAATTTAAAGAAAAAAATAATAAAATAAAATCTTAGAAACACTATTGTTTTTACCTACATACATCATCAAATATTAAACTTACTAGCGCACTTAAAGGTTTTCCTTACATATGACATGTGCTTCAACAAAACAGGCCTGTCACATGTGCATTTAATGTGCGTTGCACAGTAAATTTGCACAACTATTGCACCCTTGGCACATCATCTACAGATTCTGCCGCTGATTGTTCTATAACAGTATTGTAATGACTATGTTTACTTTCTTTATAACTTAAGTAAACATTTTCCACTAATTTTAGTGCACCAGCTTCTTCGAAATCCGACATCTTCCTTGTTTTTTAATTTTTTGTATTTTACGTGAATTTTACTGAAAACGACATGAAATAAATTAAGCACTAATAGTAATGAGGATCATTTCGATTTTTAGCTGTGAATGCAGATTTATAGGGCTAAGAAATCCTTAATACACAGTGCAAAAATTTTTGTTCTACGACAAAAATTGACGAAGTTATGGCCAAATTACTAAAAAAGTTCACTGACCGCCCGGCGCGGGGACGATGACGTCATTATATCCGATCCGAACGCTGCCGGCGTACTGCGTGGATAGAAAATATTTTTTTCTAGCCAAATTATCAGTTTTAGAGAAAAACTTGTAATGACATTTATTCATCTGAATAAAGTAAGCTATCGATAGGTAATTTTTAAAAATGGAAATTGTGAAAAATAACGCAAAAAATCCATACGCTCATACGATTCAATGGCACGCAGAGACGCGATTGGGGTCTCCGCGGTGGTATATTTGGCGATTTATTCAAATAAAGTGTACATAAGTGTTGTTAGAGTCATATCTTCTTCCAAGTAAAATATAAAAATGTATAAGTATTAATTTATTTACTTCTAACAATAAGGTATANTATTTTTCACAATTTTTATTTTTAAAAATTACTGGTCGATAGGTTACTTTATTTTGAAGAATAAATGTTATTAAAAGTTTTTTTCTAAAACTGATAGTTTAGCCGGAAAAAAATATTTTCCATCCCATTAGTACGCCGGCTGCGCTCGATTCGGATATAATGACGTCACGCGGCCTTGCGTACGTTGACTTTTAGCGGCAAAAACGGCCTATGTTTATTACTTAATATCTTCGTAAGTAATGGTCCGATTTGGATAATTCAAAAAGATATATCTTTCTTATGTCTTAAAGATTAACGTAGATACTAGTTTTATTGAATTTTCTACAACAGTACTGATCCTCATTATCAATGTTATGACGTCATTAATGTCAAAACAACATTATACGCAATGAAAACTAATAATCTTCCAACTACACTAAAAACCAGACACACAAATTTTACTTACGTCAGTAGTCGCGCAGTGAGCAATTTGCCGCAAAACGTGACATACGTTCAACAATCGTTCTCTATTGCGGTCACCTGCGCACTAAATTTCTTCTAATTTCTAATACATAGAGGTGAAGTATGGGGAGGCAGCTACTGAAACGCTTGAGTTTAACAAACGCATCGTGTAGAAAATAACTCGATTTTTTTGCAGAGGGCGGCAAAATGCTCATAGCGCGAGCACTCTAGGGTTAAAAAATATAATTAACAACATTTTTTGCTAGGTACTAGCAATTTGAGTTAATTCTTAAACATACTACAGTATCTACTACTTTCTTTGAGGGTTTCACTTGCATTTCCTTAGTGTAAACCAGTACTAATCAATAAGTAAACAAAAAAACAACCTCAATTTCTTACCTCACATCTATTGGTTTTGTAAGAGGTGTCCACAGAAAAGTGAACATGAGACTGGTCCTCCCATTCTTGGGACTGGGAGTCACGCAGAACCTCCACATCACTCTCGCTATCCTCCTCTTTCTCTTTATCAACATAATATGTTTTCACAGCATCCCTACACAGAAAAAATAATAAACACCATGCTTTTCTTGAACCATGTTCACTGTCTCAAGTTTTCATGTTTTTCTGACACATAACTCTGATTAAGCTTACCTGATGAATGTCCTGCTGCATAAACAATAAAAATATTTATCATCATCGAGTTCTTCATCACTCTCATCATCAGAACTGACCCTGAAATGAAATTCTGCAAGTGGTTCCCATCTATGATAACGATCGTAATATTCAGACATCATGAGGAACTAGGAATTACAACTGAACGTGTGGAATAAAAATATAGTAAAACTGTAACTTTTTCAGCTGAATTAAAACATAATTTTAGAGATTTGCAAAAAATCGAAGATTCAACTTTGCTGGGCGAGTTGATATTAGCGTTCCGTTATGCATAACACTTGAAACACGATCACGTTAAAAAACTTTGTTAGGACGATTTTTTCTGAGTGTAAAGAAACGTATTATAAAACTTTATTGAAAAAATTATCAAAATGCTATATAAATCAACCGATTTATTGTTTAATTCGATTTTTCTTTTTGAATAAAGTTCATTCTCTTTTTCTTTCCCTTTTAAAATTATTTCCATGAATAGTTGAGAGAAATATGTTTTTTTATTTTCCTACTTTAGCTATTTCGGACCGAAATTAATTTGTCAAACTTGACGTCTAAAAACATGTGTTTGTGACGGGTTGTTTGCGAATTTGTGGTGTGCACGTTTATTTCAGTTTATTTCCTATTTCTACAAGTAATTAAGAATACCCTTGTTTATAGTAGTCTTCACGATTTCACGTAAAAATGGGCAAGAAAAATAAAGATTCCCTTGGCCGAGCGCTTATCAAAGACCGGTTTTCCAAGAATCGACATCGAAAACATGTGGAAGACAACACAATGGTAATGTTTTATCAATAAACCCATCAATCCTCACATTTACCATACAGCAGTATTCTGAAATTGCCTATAAATAAGCATTAAATGCTCTAGAGAGCATCTTTCAAAATCGTTTGTTCTTGTAATTCTGATCAATAACAAACCAACCCCTAACATCAAAAATCTAATAAGAAAAATTATCCTGTACATATTTATCTTTCATTAAATCATTGTTATAATTAATAAATTAATATTAAACAAACTCTTTTCCTACTATTTTTTTTTCAATTTCAGCTTCATACTACAGAAGTAAATGACGGCTATGACTGGGGTCGCCTCAACCTTCAATCTGTCACTGCAGAGTCTTCCCTCCAAGAGTTCCTGTCAACCGCAGAACTCGCACAAAGAGAGTTTACCGCTGAGAAGATGAACTTGAAATACGTCAAATCTGTGCCCAGTGCGGTGGAACCAGTGACTTCTCAGCCTAATTTTGACGAACCACTAACTGTACCAAGGAGGTATGTTTAACTTCACATAACATTGCTGATGGAGCTAACTATACTGTGTTAATCTAGAAAACATTTGAAGTTGTACACTTACCTGGGTTGCATCATTTTACTTCAACTATAACATTCGTCAACACTCTTATAGTTACGGTTCAAGGTGACACAACTCAGCCTTAAACTATAAAGAAATCTAGTCTAAAATGGCACACCGCTTAATAAGAATTATGTGGTATTGCTGTATTATTGACAACAATATTTAGCTATCTATTTTATTCTACTTATAAATAAGTCTCATATTGTGTATTTTATATCCAGACCACCATGGACTCCAGGAATATCAGCTGAGCAACAGATAGAACGTGAGAGAGAATCGTTCCTTGACTGGCGTCGCCACCTAAATGATTTACAAGCTAAGCTGGGCGCAGCATTGACTCCATATGAACGGAATATTGAATTCTGGAAACAATTGTGGAGGACTTTAGAGAAAGCAGACATTGTTTTGATCCTTTTAGATGCTAGGAATCCATTACTGTTCAGGTGATTAATTTATTTTAGACACATCATAGAGAAGAATTATTGTATCTGAAATCTAGTTTCATGTATTTACTGATTGAGTGTAATAATACTGTTTCAACATTGTATCATATTTTTTATTATGTTTTCAGGTGTAAAGATTTAGAGCAATATGCTATAGAGCAAAAGTGCAAATTCATCTTATTATTGAACAAGGCTGATTTGACAGCTGAATACGAACGGAAGTGTTGGGCTGAATATTTCAATAAAGAAGTGAGTCGTCTAGTTTCAAAACCCGCTAAAACGCTCCTGCAACGAATTTCTGTTTATATCTCTAAATGACGTTACTGCAATTTTCTCATCATACTGTTCAATCATTTTCGATCAAAATTCACTAAAAGACTACTAAACTAGCACTTAAAATTTGGTTTGTGTTACAAACTCCGCTAAAACGCCGTCCGTTTCTTTCAAAACCCTCTAAAAGTTGATTGACCAATGGCAGCACGGTATTTTGGTCACGTGACTGCGAAATCAGTATGGAGATTTTTTCATAACATGCTTAAGGTTGCTGCGGTTTTTTATTGTTTTTGATCCAAAATAATGGAAGATTTGTCTCAGTTCGTGGAAAAATGTAACCCTAAAGACGCAAGAAAGAAACCATGTAATGAAATAGCCTGGAAACGCACCAAGGATCGCCAGAAACGGAAAGAGAAATTTGTTAAAAAACTACTTTTGAAACAGCTTTGATGGTGTTATGCAAAATTAACCATTTAGCTGTCGTTGGTTATTGTTACTATTAAGTGTTGGTGATCACTACTGGGATTATAGAAACTTCACTAGCTCAATGCCTTTAGACGAATTTAATTATAAAGGTATGTTACTTTTTACCCGAGTGCAGGAGGGTAATGTGTTTCGAGAGTAGGTAGGTATGTATGTGTGTAATGTGTATGTTTATATCCCTGTACAGTCAGTCAGTGAAGTAAATAAATAAATATCGTGGGATGTTTTTTTTTATGTGACAGGAGGCAAACGAGCAGATGGATCACCTGATGTCCAGATGTCTAGGAATAAATATTATGTTATAAAAAGGCAAAGACGAGATTGAGAAAATAATTTATAAAAGTTTCTTATTTACATGCTGTAATTTAATTGTTTTTTTTTTTAATAACCCGATAAAACTTGATTAATCTAATAACCTAACCAATAAGTGCAATAGCTTTGAATATTATAGAATGGACAAATTATACGGACAATTATTTATTTTATCATTTTTTGGGTTATTTAATATTAGACTTTATTGTAGAACGCCATTCATGCATTAAAATTTGTTCTTATCAAATCCCGCTAAAATACAACATGTCCGTTTCAAATCCCATTAAAACGGAATGTTCGTAACAAAGTACGCCAAAATGAAAATAGTTTTCATTATAATTCAAATTATATTTAATTTAAAGGTGAATAGGAATTACTGTTAGTTTTGCAAGATGACAATAATAATTCGTATCATATATTTTTTTGCCTAAGGCCAAAGCTATATGGATAAGCGGTTTTTTTCAATTTCTCGAAATCTTATCAAAATCGTTTTAGCGGGATTTGAAACTAGACGCCTCAAGTATGTATTTTCCATAATCTGAACCTTCTTTTTTCTTAAAAACTGAATTAAATTACTGTTGAAATTCTCTTACCAAATATGATTATACTGCATGCTTTAATAGTGTTAAAAAGTATCTTCTAAAAGTTTTTTATTGTGAATACAAATCTATTATTTCTTTACTAAATGAACTCTTTATCTTCCAGAACATCACTATTGCATTCTTCTCTGCAGCTAAGCACACAAATGAACGTAAAATATCCGAAGCCAGTGATAGTTCTTCCAAAAAAAGTCAAACATATGAAATAGATGGCTCAGACACAGAGTCAGCTGACTCTATAAATGGTATAACCCAGAGTGATTTAGAAGAAGAAGCTCTAAACAGCACAGAAGAAGACATAAAGTTGTTTAAAAGACAACTCGGAGAACTGGACACAGCAGTCTCAAATACATCAGACAGATTAGACAAAATACAAGAGGTGTTGGACAAAGTCGTTGAAAACTTACGATTAGGCAAACCAATTGACTCCTACCCTAGTAATAAAGAACCTAAAATTGTTGATGAAACCCCTGACTCTTCAAAAGAAAGAGAAACAGTGAAAAATTCATATGAAATTTTTGACAGAGATATGCTGTTAGAAATGTTGAAGAACCAGAATGTGGGAGCTCTTAAGAATCCGCCTAGACTGTCAGTGGGGATGATTGGATACCCCAATGTGGGGAAATCTAGTACTGTCAATGTTTTGATGAAGACGAAGAAGGTAGGTTTTGTTATAAAAAGTTAAAAATAGATTTTTCATGATCATTTTATGATGGTGTTGTTTGATGTTGAAATCTTGTCTTATGTATGAATTCCTTTTTAAATGCAATATAATTAGTCTGGTATTGATAAAATATGTTTGCCTGTAGTATTAAGGCCTATTCAAACCTGAGCGATATTCGCTGCCGCTGTGGGTAGAGGTACATACCGCGCGGGTTTCGCTCAGGTATTTAGTATCAAGTACCGCGGCTAGAGCGTTTTCTCTGCCGCAGACGGTAGCGAATACCGCTTAGGTCTGAATAGGCCTCTATAGCTCACGAGATAGCAGAATGAACCTATCTAGTAAGGGCCTTGCCACACTGGCGGATTGCAAGCGTTTAGGCGACCGCGGCGTGCCCGCCGTGCCGCCGCGCTCCGCTTGCAATCCGCCAGTGTGGCAAGGCCCTAAGTCTTTCTCGAAATATATCAGACGTTTAGTCTCCACTACAGGAGGTTTCCCTCTCTTATTTTTCAAAAGCAGAATTGAGATTTTGTCCTACACTCCCCACACTGGCCAGATGGGTTGGGTAGGCCTGATGTTCGCACATTTCTCCCTAATTCGCCAAATCAAATCAAATCAAATCAAATCAAAAACATTTATTTCTTAGAAAGTGGTAACATAACAAGATATTAAATAATTAAATATTCGCCCCCTCTCGATATCCAACGGGGGGTTACAATTTGATTTTCCTGGTACCACAAATTAAATAAATAAATCAATATTCTTATTTTCCTACAGGTGAGCGTCAGTGCCATGCCGGGACACACCAGACACATCCAGTCTTTGATCCTGGATGAAGACATCGAGTTGCTGGACTGTCCTGGCCTCGTGTTGCCCGCGTATGCCGTCGCTCCCGACCTGATGCTGACTGCCGTGCTTTCTATAGATCAGGTAAAACCAGATCAGATTTTCTAAACTAACATGTATTATTTTTAATTTCTCACATTTGTATGATCTTTAATTGTCATCCAGTGGGCACTTTTATTTGATAAAAACTTCAAGCTTTTAGAGCTAAAACACAAGATGCGTTGCGTATGGCAAAGATTTCGCCATATCGCGTGCCTGCCACAGATATTACGTAGAGACGACGCAGTGACACCGCGGCCTTAACACATCGTACGCCTTGTTTCTTACACAGTTTTTTAAGAACCCATAAACATTAGTAATGAATGGGCGCGTTTTATTTATGTGACCTCACGTTCAGCTAATTCCACTCAAGGTTTTTCGATCCTCGTCGACCGATGTGCTATTGTGGTGAATCTACTCCAGGTTACTAGGAAAGAAATAATAATAAACCAAAAATTTGTATCTTCTTAGATGCGGTCCCATGACGCGGCTATGGCCCGTCTCTGCCAGTTAGTGAGCAGACACACCTTCGAGCAGAAGTATGGACTACTGTTACCTCAAGCCACTGACACTCTGGACTACAAACAAATACTTACTGCGCATGCTTGTGAGTACTACAAGTATCCTAAATTGAACCCCAAAATTCAGCCCTTGCGTGCCGATCCAGTATCGCTTACGAGCTATAAGAGTGAAATTCGCTTGCAATAGATTTCGGTATGGATCCTTATGGAACGGCGCTCAACTCTGAGGAGAGCTGAATTACACCTTATTGTTGACGACAAAGGGTATATATTTTTTAAACCTTGGCGAAAAAATCCTTTTGTGCGAAATACTATTCTTCTATTCAATCTAGTACCCATAGTACAAGCTTTGCTTAGTTTGGAACTAGAGGCGAAGTGTAAAATGTCCAAGGATATTTATTATTATTGATTAAATATCAAAGAAAAATCTTTGAGCAGATAAATGACACATTTTTTTACCAACAATATTTATAAAATTCCCAGACAACCGAGGCTTCATGACCGCCGCGGGCCAGCCGGACCAATCGCGGTCCGCTCGTCTACTTCTCAAGGACGCCGCCAATGGACGCCTCCGCTGGGCCGAGCTACCGCCGGGATGCGAACCCGAACCCTTAGACCAGATGATTGAGGACAAGCGGTCTGAGAAGAGGAAGCCTACGCCTAGAGAAGCTAGGATGGTTGAGGTCAGTTTAGAGGCTATTTAGTGTAGTTAGGTTCTAAAACATGTCACTAGAGGGCGCCTCCGCTGGGCTGAGCTACCGCCGGGATGCGAACCCGAGCCCTTAGACCAGATGATTGAGGACAAGCGGTCTGAGAAGAGGAAGCCTACGCCTAGAGAAGCTAGGATGGTTGAGGTCAGTTTAGAGGCTATTTAGTGTAGTTAGGTTCTAAAACATGTCACTAGAGGGCGCCTCCGCTGGGCCGAGCTACCGCCGGGATGCGAACCCGAGCCCTTAGACCAGATGATTGAGGACAAGCGGTCTGAGAAGAGGAAGCCTACGCCTAGAGAAGCTAGGATGGTTGAGGTAAGTTTAGTAGCCATTAAAATAGCCCCTAAAATAGCCACTAAATAGCCATTTAGTTCCTAGAATATGCCTCTAGAAGGCGCCTCCACTAGCTACCGCCGGGATGCGAACCCGAGCCCTTGCACCAGATGATTGAGGACAAGCGGTCTGAGAAGAGGAAGCCTACGCCTAGAGAAGCTAGGATGGTTGAGGTGAGTTTAGACACTATTTATGGCAGTTAGTTTCTAAAATATGCCACTAGAGGGCGCTACCGAAAAGCAAAATTACCTCTCTGATGAGTCCCAGCACCCTTAGACCAGATGATTAGGACAATAGATCTGAGAAGATTAAAACGCTTAGAGAAGCTAGAATTGTTGAGGTGAGTTTAGTTGCTATAGTTTCTAGAAAGGGCGCTTCCGCTGGGCTGAGCTACCGCCGGGCTGCGAACCCGAGCCCTTAGACCAGATGATTGAGGACAAGCGGTCTGAGAAGAGGAAGCCTACGCCTAGAGAAGCTAGGATGGTTGAGGTAAGTTTAGACACTATTTATGGCAGTTAGTTTCTAAAAGACGCCACTAGAGGGCGCCTCTGCTGAGCAAAGCTACCGCCGGGATGCGAACCCGAGCCTTTGGACCAGGTGATTGAGGACAAGAGGTCTGAGAAGAGGAAGCCTACGCTTAGAGAAACTAGGATGGTTGAGGTCAGTTTAGTTATTAGTTAATTCTAGAAAGAAAATACCACTAGAGTGCCGCGCCCTTGGTCCAGATGATTGAGGACAAGAAGTTTGAGAAAAGGCAACATATGCCTAAAGAAGCTAGACTGACCTCAATCAGTCGGTTTAGTGACTACTTAGTGCAGTTAGTTACCAAAAAATGCCACTAGAGGGTGTCTTCCCTGGATAGGACAATTATTCGGTTGTGAACCCGCCCATATCTAACGATCGTCTCTGATTTTATCTCAAATCAAGGATACATAATGCTTAATTTATTATAGAATATACAATTAACTGTCTATGTTTAATTTTTTTTATGCTAGACAAGGCAGGTATTTGACCACAATCGCACCTGTTTGTTTTGTATTTTCTTTTCCATCTAAAAATATGCGCCATTTTCCTCAAAGTTCTAATTTCGTTGTGCAATATATCTATCCGATCAAAATAACTGTTTGGATTGTGGTGACACCAAGCCAATCCAAGCCGCCTACGTCCAACAAAACAACGGACCCGCAAACGGACGAATGTCGTTTGTCATCCATCCCGAGGGAATCGTTGAATCCCGTGTGAGTGGGCGATAACAACAGAATATAAATACGTTGATATAAAAAGTTGGCTTGTATGTGCTTTCTAAACAAATTTAAGATACATATAAAAATACCCTTATGTCCAAAGGGTACTACAAGGTTCGAGACTATATTGATGACAAGGATGCGAGGTCAGTTCAGTCTGCACATATTTGATGTACTTAAATTTGACTATTCTTACCGTTAGATAATTCCTGGCAATAAGTGGTGACTGAGTTTGTTCCGGCGTTTCTTCTCAGCACTTGCCATATGTTTGTCTCGAAGCGCTGGTAGGGCCCAAAAGATAAGGAGACATGTAAAGTGCAGTTGCCACGAATAGTGATTTAGCCGAATACCGAATACCGAATATTCGGCAACGCTGTCGGCCGAAGCGCCGAATATTCGGCGGCCGAATATTCGGCACAAAGTACATGCTAGTCGAGCGCGTAAATAATGATACGACAGGTTGCGACCTGTCTCCACCGCGCGCGGGCGGTGTGAAGCTATTTGACTGTTTCATTCAATTGCGGGTAAATCACGTCACGGCACCACAGAATAAGTAATAGTACAGGTACAGAAGGATTACTCCGCAAGACGATTTAAATAAATGCGAGTCTTGCTACGACGCGATACAGTGGAATTCAGCTCGCACAGCACTACGTACCTACAATTTTATTCACCTACAAGTTTTGTCTCTTTCTATCGCGTGCCTCTGAACTCTTCTTACGCTGTTAGGGTTGCTGTCTAGTGAAAAAATAATTAATCTACTTATTTGTAATGAGGTACGTATGTAGGTAAGTAAAAATAACATTTCAAATATACGTAATTAGGATTAAAAAAACTTGTTCTATTACAATGTCTTCATTCATACCTACCTATTTTAACATAAGACAGATAAATTAAACATACTATTACAGAAAAATAAAGAATCCTATACTATCCTAAGAATTTTATTATTGATTACCTACATGGCCAACATACCTTTCAGCATCTTTGGGAAGCGAAAAAAAAAGATAAATCCGGTAATTTCTCTTCGAATTTAAACACCCGAACGCCGCACAATATTTCTTTCTCTTTATGTCCATTTTTAAATAATACTTCGATCATAGAATTATAATCATACTAAAACGCAAGCCAGCGTCCTGACGGGCGAGCGCGTGACACTCGACTGATATAATACCCGCCGGCGGGGCGCTTCGCTGTAGGTAATTATCGGATGTACCGCGCGGAGTGAGCCAGGCCTGACGGCACGCATTGTCAGATTAATATAAATTACAAATTTAACAAAACGTTACGATTTTGCTGAAAAGTTTGTTCGTTAGTTCTTTTTCAATTGTTTGTTCATTAAAATGTCACCAATTAATAAAAAATCGGCCATATGGGAATATTATGAGATTTGTAGTGAAAATAATAGACTGGCCAATTGTTTGCTGTGTAGTAGCAAGATTTCAAGAGGTGGAGAAGGAAAGAAAGCAAGTAAGTAAAACTTGAATTAATTTAATAACTCGTTCACACGATATCTATGTCATTGACGATTCGTCAATAACACGATACGTCATGACGATTGGCCGTTTACATTGCGTGCGGAATCGTTATGTTTTATGATTCGTCAATATCTGACCATTTTCTGAATCTTGTTTTGACGTTTCTCATCACAAAAAAAAACAGTACCTATTCGAGTTTTCAACCGACTTCAAAAAAGGAGGAGGTTCTCAATTCGACCCGTATGTTTTTTTTTTCTATGTTTGTTACGCGATAACTCCGCCAATTATGAACCGATTTGAACAAATCTTTTTTCGGCGTATAGGTAATACCTCAATGGTGGTCCCATTTAAATTTAATAATAGAAAAAACAACCCCCAAGGGTGGAAAATTGGGGATGAACTTTTTTATACGCAATATCTCCGCCGATTATAAATCAATTTGAACGATTATTTTTTTGTTGAATAGGTATTATCAAAAGGGTGGTTTCATGCGAATTTGATGAAAATATTTCACCCCCAAGGGTGGAAAATTGGGGATGAACTTTTTTATACGCAATATTTTTAATTTTAAGTTTTTTTTGTGTTCACGCATTTGAAGTCGGTTTTATTTTTTTTTAAAGTTAATTTGACAAAACGTGATTTGAGACCTGCCCGTCATTTTTCACGATTTGTTATTGTAGGAATGAACTATTGAATGATTTGTAGGAATGAAATATGAATTAAAAACTTTAAAAAGCATTACCGCCGTTAAAAAAAGTTGTAATACGTTAGGGAAATTTAAATTTAAAGGCAGACAAGGGAAATAAAATAAGTGTATAAATCGTTATTAGTGAATAAATAAATAAATAATTAATCTTCAAGTAAAGTTTCGTTTTTTTTAGTGGATAGAAAATGTTAGTGCATAACTTAGCTAGCTACTTGTAATTAATTTTAGTTCTTTTTTATTTTCAGCTACAACTTCTTTAAAAAACCATCTTAAATCCAAACATGCAGAACAGTACGCTACTTTAACTGATGTACCCTCGACAAGTGGCAGCGGCAGCAATAAGGGCGGTACTTCTACTTCCACCGATTGCAAGATACCTGAAGTACCTGGAACGTCCAGATCAAGAGACCGTCAGCTAACCCTAAAAGAAACATCTGAAAGGAAATTGCTATGGGACATTAATGATCCGAAATCAATAAAATATCACTACTTGATAGGTGAAATGATTGCTTTAGACAACGAACCATTATCACTTGTTGAACGGGTCGGATTTCAGAGGCTTATGGCAACCGCTGTGCCCCATTATAGAGTACCTGGTCGAACGTACATGACCGAGAAAGTTGTTCCTGATATATACAACAGAATTTGGTCTAAAATAGAAGCCAGTATTTCGCAGGCAACAGCATTATCAGTGACATCTGATATATGGACATGTCAGCATAATAACGAGAGCTTTTTGAGCTTCACTGCACACTGGATATCTCCAGAGTTCAATCTGGAACATGGCGTTTTAGCTATGAATCCGTTTCTTAGCTCACATTCTGGTACCAATATTGCAAAAGAACTTAATGCTATTACAGAAATATGGAATATTCCTAAAAGCAAGATCCATTTACTTGTCCACGATAGTGGGGCTAATATGATAAAAGGTGTGCGAGATGCAGGATACGATTCAGGCAGGTGCTTTATTCATTCATTGCAACGAGCTATAGAGGAATCGCTTAAATCTCAACCTGAAGTACTACAGATGGTGGCTGCTGCTAGACGAATTGTTACCCATTTTAACCATTCAGGTTTAGCAGAGCAGAAACTTAAATCCATTCAACAAGAACTTAACTTGCCTAACCACCAACTAGTGCAAGATGTCAGCACACGGTGGAATTCTACATATTATTTAATGGAGCGATTATTGGAACAAAAGCGAGCTGTTTCCTTGTACATAACAGATCATGAAACATTAAATAATCTAACACATGCTCAATGGGAATTAATGGAACAATGTATCAAACTTCTCAAACCATTCGAAGAGATTACAAAAATAACCAGCTCAGGTATCTCCTGCATCTCTGAAGTGATTCCACATGCAGTTACTTTATTAAAATATCTAGGAAAAGCAGAGACGGCTGACAGAGTACCAAATTTAGTGACAATGAGATCTTCACTACAAGCCGAGCTTGAAAAGCGATTTAGTTTTGATGAAAACAACAAATATCTGGTCGCTACTTTTCTTGATCCACGCTTCAAAACAAGTTTCCTAGGTTTGGTTCAAGCAGAAAGAGCAAGACAAAAAATTCTTCTAGAAGCTCTGAAACTAAGCTGTAATGATGAGTCTAGTAGTACCGATGACGATTCTTCTCCACGTCGTAAGAGAAGAAACTTGAACGAAAATGATAAGTCATTTGAAATACACGACAGTTTCTGGAACTGCTTTGAGGAAGTCGCTAAAGATAATATGCGAAATAGTAATGATGAGGAGAACGTGGAGAAGAATACTGTGGCAAATGAGATGGATTTTTATTTGAAATCAAATCGACTAGATCGGAAAGCTGATCCTTACAAGTGGTGGTCAGCTAATGAAAAACAATACCCAAACCTCTCGAAATTTGCTAAAGTTTATCTTTCTTCTCCCGGGAGTAGCGTGTATAGTGAGAGGTTGTTTTCTGAAGCTGGTATTGGTATGATGAAAAGCGTAATCGTTTGCTACCGTCAAATGCTGAAAAGCTTGTTTTTATCCATCACAACTTACCGCTGATTAATTTTACTTACTAAAGTATTGTAATTTGATAATAAAGACAAATGTTGATTAATATGATGTATCTTTTTTTTCCATGATTTGGTATTCGGTATTCGGCCGAATAGTACCTATTATTCGGCCGAATACCGAATACCAAACAAAGTGGCCGAATAGGCCGAATACCGAATAGTAGCCGAATATTCGTGGCATGTCTAATGTAAAGTGCCCCATAAGGGCTACCTTTTCTTTTTTTATTATTTTCTATTGACGTTCATAAGTGCCACTTGTGTTCTAAACTGAATAAATATTTTTGATTTTGATTTTGATTTGATTTTAAGGCTCACGTGGTCATTCTATGTAGGATTCCGTATAGATTTCAAAAAAAGAAGTTATCTGTGGTAAAGACCAATGGATTAAACTATCATTATGTTGTTAATCCATACAGGTTGTATAGGATCAGTTAGCATGTTTAAACTCTGAGTTCTGCACTCAGGAAGATTTGATGAGTGCTACTGACAACGCCACTCTTGTGGCGGAGTTCTGGGCTGACACTGTGTAAGTTTGTTGTCGACACGAAAAGAAGAAGAATTCTGAGTTAAGCTATTGTAAGCCTCCAGTTTCTTCCATTTGATTTAATCGAATTTCACTGTTGATAGACGTGTAACATCTATCTGTGCAGGGAATCGCATACGTAGTTTTAGGGCTCCTTTTGTTGACTACTCAACTAAAAAGGGTAAAATAATGTTAACGGTAACGTACAAAATAAGGCCATTTTAAGTATAAAAAATGCAGAAAAGAGAAAACAAATGCTTATTAGATAGAACATGGATAATATTGGACCAATCTACAGGATGCGGAATCCTAAATATAATAAAGTAACGACGTTCGTGGTGTTCTGGCATCAATGGAAAATTTTATTCGTGTCTGTGGGTTTCCGACGGCTGTTATGTGACATCGATGCGGTCAGACAACATGTCATGTTAGTTCACCTCCTGTATGCGGTTGTTTATGTTTAATAAATATATATTCTTGGAGGGCAGAAGACATCACGCTAAAATTGGTGACTTAGTTAACCTCTGGCTTTCACCGTGGCTTGATAAAAAAATCTAAGATTAGTGAAAGTGTACCACAGGATACTTGAAATATACATCCAGTATACGTAATCGCTTCAGCAATCAACTAGACATAAGCCTTCTCCAAGGAATAATTGTGGCATGCCCCATATCTCCCTTTTTTCATCCTGCCGCTACCTGCTATCTTCCTATGATCGGTGGCGACATGGCATTGTAAAAAATGTTATAAATACTTACCTTAATGTCAACATTAAAAAAAAAGTTAATATTTGTTACAGGGCTGGCTGAACAAATCGGCTGAGATCGACAATACATTCTTCGCCATGCAGAAAAGTTCCGCACATGTCAAGGGAAAACCTATCTTAGGGTGAGTTGTACTTACGTTGTCCGCACCAGCCCAAAGTGGAGCGTAGGGTAAAGGATTTGCCACCATGGATGCGGTCTGCGATCAAGTAAAAGCAGCCCTCATAATGTATGATTACTTTGACCGCTCAAGGTCACCCAAAGGGCGATGGAGCGGGCTATGCTCGGAGTTTCCCTGCGTGATCGAATCAGAAATGAGGAGATCCGCAGGAGAACCAAAGTAACCGACATAGCTCGCAGAATTGCTAAAATCAAGTGGCAGTGGGCGGGTCACATAGCTCGTAGAGACGATGGCCGTTGGGGCAGGAAAGTTCTCGAGTGGCGATCACGGGCTGGAAGACGTAGCGTGGGCAGGCCTCCTACTAGGTGGACCGACGATCTGGTAAAGGTCGCGGGAAGAGCCTAGATGCGGGCAGCGCAGGACCGTTCATTGTGGAAAACCTTGGGGGAGGCCTTTGTCCAGCAGTGGACGTCATTTGGCTGAAACGAAACGAAACTTTGACCGCAAACCGCATACAGTGTGACTAATCCTTAAAGGTCGCCCAAATGCTACCTAAAACCCGGTCTAGACTTGTGTTCAGTATACTCCCGACTTGTTAAATTCGCTAGACCGAAGTGCCGCCAACATAATCTTGATCTACACTACATGAAAGGGACAAGATCCCAAAGTGGATCCTTCGGTCAATCCTTGATTAAGACCAGCGCTGCACATAGTTTTACAGAGTAAATAATTTTTATAAAGATAAATTGTTTACTTATTCTATATTATTTCGAATCAAGCCTAGTTTATCCAGCAGTTATCGAAAGAGTTAGTATGTTCCATTTCGTTTTAAAATATCGCCCTAAATCGGACGCTAACGTTGTATCAACGGAAATCGGCAGTAATACGTGTAAAAATAAATTCAGCTGGAATGCGCGTATCTTCGTAAGCTAGCCACCATTACACTTCACTGAATGTTAACTGAAGAAAATATAAAAATAAGTGGGATCATTTTGAACGCTGCTATAAAAACATTTTCGGCTAAAACAAACACCGTTAAAGACCGTTTCGTCTACAAAACATATCAAAAGCAATAATTACTGAAATTACAAAAAAAAGTCTTTTTTTATGTGTTTATCGCATGCGTGAGTTAAAAAAGTGCATACGAAAATATCGTTCGTAACGAGCTAAGATGAAAGACTGAGAGTATATTATCAATTGGAGTTTAACCCTAAATAGCGGCGACGGAACGGTGCGCCTGGCAGCACGCCAACGGTTAATTTATAAAGTCCCAACTTCTTTATGAGCTGGAGGGTTAACGATCGTGAAAATTGCCGGGAGACCGTATTATAACGTGCATGTGGATTATAGATTTATATGATAGTTTCTTGCATCTAATGGAAAATTCTGAGGATTATCTTTAATTTACAATGTTAGTACAGTTGCAAGATTGTTGTGACTTGCGACGCTCTTACTTATAGTTGGCACGATTTTTTTTCACGAAGCCCTTGGCCTACATATAGATGCAGACCGAAGGTAGAAGCGAGCTTCACCCGGAATCCTCAACCATAGTGGATGTCATTTTTAACCGACTACAAAAGAAAAACATATGATCCCAGGTTTTTTATATAACAGGACTTATTATTTAAATGGGATCACCATTTAAATTGTATCATTAGTTCAGTTATTTTTTTTTACTCAAAAAGGTAACCCTTACCTCAGATTTTTGAGCTGGTAAAATACATTATGCCTGAAAAACGCACTTAATCCAAACTATTTTTACTCCTTTTGAAAGAAACTAAGTACTTTATAATTTAGTAAAAATAACATTAAAAAAGCGCTGGACGTAAGCCGCTACCAATCGATCAACATGGAAAGCATTGGGGGAGGCCTATGTTCAGCAGTGGACGTCCTATGGCTGAAATGATGATGATGATGATGAACATTAAAATTGAACCTTATACCTTTCTAATAAGATCCCTTCTTCCAGCGTTGTCGGAGCGCAGCCGGCTGGAGCGCAAATGAGCAAACCCTGGAAACACGAGAAAAAACACGCAAACAAGAACAAAAGGGAAAAACTTAGGAGAGTCTACCATCATTTGGACGAACATTAAATTAACATGTGCAATATTAAGTGAACTTTATTATACGTAATATAAGGTTCTGTTTTATTTGTAAAGTTGGATCTTGATCCCATAGGGAAAAATTGAGCTATGTAACAGCATTTTACAAAGAAGTTTACTAATATTATAGGACCCTATATTTGTACCAGTGAATTTGAATCGCCTACGTATTTTTGTGTATTGTAATTTTTGGATGGTATTACAGTATGTGATATAAAACTAAACGTGTGTATATCTTTGTTAGCGCATTTATTCTATTGTGAGTCTGTGAGATAGAATTTAAGGTTTTTAAAGGTGACTTCAATAAAAGTCTATGAGATACAGTAATTGTCTTTTTTGCAAACATTTTTTACAATTCCCCTAGCTTCTCTGGCAGAGTCCAGGGGCCGTAGTATGAAGATACTGTAATTGTCTTTTTTTTGCAAACATTTTTTATAATTCCCCTACTACTCGGACAGAGTCCAGGGGGCGTAGTGTGAGTTTACGTCAAACGCATTCGATGTCGATTGCGTAAAAAAGTCACATTCTATGTATGACGGATTGGTGCAGTCCTGTTGTCCCCCCTGGTTGGCCCCCCTGGGGGAGCCAAGAGGATTTCGAAATCCTGTTGTCGGTGCAGTCCTGTTGTCCCCCCTGGTTGGCCCCCCTGGGGGAGCCAACAGGATTTCGAAATCCTGTTGTCCCCCCTGGCTAGGGGAGACAACAGGACTTGATTTTGTCCAGCGCCCCTAGCGGTAACTTTCAAGAACTAAAATTTTCATACATTTTATAACGCGCTCATTTGATGTAAACTTACTCAGGCCTCAGAGTTCTTTAGTAGAATGCAAAATAGTTATGTATGTAATTAGAAGACTTTTTAACTGTGTGTGTCTTTAAATTGACCTACTGTTTGTTGTTTTTTTTAAGGATATCATTTCAAAATTAAAATAACATTCAGAGACATTTCCTTCTTTTTACACTAGCCACACTGGTATTAATTTGTTGATTTGATTTTTTTCTACAAAAACTACACAATCTCAAATAGTAGTGTGAGAACAAAAATTTTAAAATAACATTTTGTTAGGACTGCTACATCTAAAACCACTTCGATCAGTCATCGTAGTCTCAAAATCACTGGCGGGCGGTTCTTAATATTTTTTCGGCCGATACCATCAATCTGATTTATGCATAACGCGTAGTTACACAAATACGCCGGGAATTCTTATGGCGCAATGTTGGCCTGAATCCCCTGATTTATCGCCCAACGCTAATTTAAGACAAGTGGTCGATTTTACGCCGAAAGTCGTAATCGACAGGCCGTAAGTTCACTTGTATTTAATGTTATTATTATAGCTGTAAACGCAGTCATAATGCGGCTAATGTATGGTCGCCACCACGCCCGATAATCACTGCTAAATTATATTAACAAATCCGCAATAATTCCTAGAAAACTAGAATCACCTCACACTATACGTGTCCGCCCATGTCGCGTGGCACAAAATTATGGCCACTTCAGTCTGTCCCAAACCTACCTAATAGTTGTGTGTGTTGAATTTGATACCATACCCCAGTAATCCCTTCTCCTCCTCCTACTAGGTGTACCGACGATCTGGTAAAGGTCGCGGGAAGAGCCTGGATGCGGGCAGCGCAGAACCGTTCATTGTGGAAAACCTTGGGGGAGGCCTTTGTCCAGCAGTGGACGTCATTTGGCTGAAACGACGACCCCAGTAATAAATAAAATGCTCTACAATCCGATCAGCTAACTGCGCACCTCGCTGAATGCGACTCTCCCTCGCACTCACCCGGACACCTCCCCGCGTTCGCCCGTCCGTATCAGAGCGTCGATGTGACGTCACGGCCAGTGGCGGCGTAAGGCGTAGGCGACGTGGGCCACCGCCTACGGCCTCGCGGTACAAGGGGCCTCGCGCATCAAAAATTTTGAAAAAATGTATACAAGGTGGAGATGACAATATCACAATACGACAATAAATGCAAACATTGACTATTAAATATAAATTCTTGATAGCTAAACAATGTAGTTAAAAATAAAAATATATTTTTTTCCAAACAAATTCAGCCATAATCAGACTCAAAATTAAGCAACAACACGGTTTTAAGTGACGAACATTATTCTTTGGCGCAATATTCCTTTAAAAATAATCACTGAATCAAGAAATCAGAAACTGTCAATGAATAGACCGTTGACCCGTTTTTTTTTTTATTATTTCATAAAATCCGTCTTCAGGTCGCCACAGAACAAGGCCTCGCGAAATCTGTCTTGCCCACATCAAATTTAGGTCTTGCCCCGCCACTGGTCACGGCTGCCAGGTGCGCAGTTAACTCGATCGGGTTGTATAAGCCCCATTGTAGGGCGCCCATAGAATCCCTGCAGGCTATACCAGCTATACTATAGTCTGGTCTGTGAGCACGTAGAATTATGTCCAATAACCCCAAGCTACCCATCCTTATCGCTCGCGCGTAATTATGTTGCTGTCGCGCTCGCACACTCACTGCGGACGCCCGTCGCACTGTCGCGACAGCAATATAATTACGCGCGAGCGATAAGGATGGGTAGCTTGGGGTCATTGGACAAAATTCTACGTGCTTACAGACCGGGCTTTAGTTAGTCAATGAAAAAATTGCTTCGTGACGTGTGAAAATCAGGTTCATTCGGTTGTCAATCACTTTGAATTTGAGGTTTGAGGAATTGAAAATATGTTCATTACCTACTTAAGATACAAGTCCAAGATGAACTGCAGACCGCAGACTGCAACCGCAAACTGCAAACTTCTATGAAATCTGCAACGCGGCGCGCGCCGCAGCTGCAAGCCGCAGTGGGGATTTCATAGAGATTTGCTGTTTGCGGTTGCAGTCTGCGGTCTGCAGTCCATCTTGTACTTCTGCCTTGAAGAATTATTTATTTATCTTCAAACTTCTTAATTTTCTTGATGGCATTCGGAGCAAGAAACCTTCTTCCATCTTCATTCTTCTTATTTCGTTCGTTCGTTTCAGCCGAAAGACGTCCACTGCTGGACAAAGGCCTCCCCCAAGGATTTCCACAAAGACCGGTCCTGCGCCGCTTGCATCCAGGTACTTCCCGCGACCTTCACCAGATCGTCGGTCCACCTAGTGGGATTCTTCTTATTTGCTTGGTGGCAATCGGAGGAAGAAGTCTTCTTCAGTCTTCATTTTCAAATTTTTCTTGATGGTGTACCTACCATCGGAGCAAGTTCTCATAAAGGAGACCTTTTCACTTTGCTGTTGACATGTCAACAATTATCAGCAGCAAAGCGGAAAAAGACAATTTTATGGAGAACTTTCGCTTCTTTCTTCTCTAGTTTTCTTCTGCTGTCTTCCTTTTCTTACTGCAGTTGGCCTGAAAAATTGTAAATGCTTTCTTTAATACGAATTTAGTTGCTGATGGTTTTGATGTTCAGCTGTAGGTATGTAGGTAGTCCATAAATAACTTGAGAAAATCGAACTAAGGATGGAATCGAACCCACGACCTTTCGCTTGCCGGGCAAATGCTCTTCCATCATGTGCATGTGGATTGAGTGATCCTTGCTTCAATCTTAACAAAAATCGAGGAAGTTTTACTTAAAATATGTTAAAACATTGCGATGAAGTTTAAAAATTTGTTAAACCTGAGATAAAAATGTTATGGTCAATAAATAGGAACACTCATACGTGAAAATGTTTATTTCAGAAAATAAAGCCTTTCCACTTCTTTTTATAGTATTGAAAAATTGTTAAGAATATGTTAAAACTATTAACAAATTCAGAAATCCCTTGCACGTCCCGTTCCAAAGTTATGACGATTATTTAGGATCACTCACACCGCACACGGGCCGTATGAGTGCTCTTCAAAATCATGACTATTTATTAATAAATACGTTTTATTTCTGTTGGGAAATGTGTGCAAACTGACGAGCGAATTTGTTAAAGAATAAGTGTGACAAAACTTAAAAGGTGAAGGAAGAAATTAACCTTTAATCTTTCCTCCAATATGCCGTGTGTGCAAGGGATTTCTGAATTTGTTAATAGTTTTAACATATTCTTAACAATTTTTCAATAAGTATCTACTTTAAAAAGAAGTGGAAAGGCTTTATTTTCTGAAATAAACATTTTGACGTTTTCTTAAAGCGTGCGGTATGAGTGCTCCTATTTATTGACCATAACATTTTTATCTCAGGTTTAACAAATTTTTAAACTTCATCGCAATGTTTTAACATATTTTAAGTAAAACTTCCTCGATTTTTGTTAGGATTGAAGCAAGGATCACTCAATCCACATGCACATCTTCCATCTGAACTACTTAGACATTGGATTAGTGATAGAAACTGGATGGCCCAATCAAACGAGAATGTAGCTAAGTGATTAATCAACTCATTGTAGCATAGAGTGTATATAGCAGTGAAAGAAACGATTATCAAAAACTGTTTTTTAAATCAAAGTGTATCTTCCTTCAAGACCCTGACCATTTATCAAATATAGCTTTTGGCGGGCACATTTAATCTAGCTCGCAAAACGAGTTAGCAAATTAAACGATATAATTAAATGTTCTAATTACTAAACCGCTCGTTTCCCACAACGAAGATTAGGAACCAGCTCTTGGCATAGCCGAGTGTTGGAAATCCTATTTAAAGTGCCTTGTATATCATTGAGTGGAAAATGTAAACATTTCTGTTTGTGTAAATACACGGTCCGTAGAATGCGAAGCCCCGGAGAGATGTTGTTAACCGCTTTTAAACTATTGCTATGGTAAATTACGTGCCTGCCTAAGTATTAATTGGTAGGGTTAAAGTAATAAGTTTTAAAGCGCTTCTTGCAAAAAAACAAAAGAGTTTTTATTCAAACCTTTTTTTACCTCACAGCAATGTTTGTAGAGGCCATCGAAAAATACATTAAATCATTCATTCTTACTAGGTACCTACAGTATGATAAATTATAACTGAGAGCGACCGCTCGACCAAGATTTTGATGAATTGGTTGTTACCTGTAATGTTGTTCCTAATTAATACGTAAAGTATGTTTTAAATTGATACCTCCCAAGTCCAGACTTTGGCCTATGGTTACTTTCGGCTGCCATTAGGCGGACTTATAACTACCGGCACCGCGTCATCGTGTCATAAAGGTAGCCGCGTATTAATGTGCCCCAAATCTAAATTACCACATCAACGCCGCCATAAAATTTATTACAATCCAGACTCCAGTTCACACTGGGTGGCAGAACCGAGGTGAATGACAGAACTTCCTGTATTTTTACACTATTCCACATTTTCAACGTGGATTTACAATCGATTATCTGTGCCAAAACGTAAACAAATGACAGTTAATTGAAACATTCAAAAAATATAGTTTTCCGGACCACCGCGGACATTTTAACGACTCTTCTAAATTAGAACAACACACAGATTCGACGGAAATCCAGAGGCATTCACAATGACTAACGGTGACTTTCACGATGTATTTAATTCGGCTAATGTGGCCATACATCTTTTGGGGATCGGGAGGAGACAAGACCGGCGGTTTTTAGTTTTGTTTGCGACGTTTCACCGTTAATGTCGTGGGCATCTATTTCCTCTTCGAGTCTTATCGGCTATTATCTATTATGTAAAGGCTGTCTGACGTCACAAAACATAAATTGCGTTGCGGTGCACGCTTCCATTAACAGTTGTCATGCAGCGACAAAATTGGCATGTGTAGTTTTCATTCATCAGCAATTTTCTTCTTTGGAATCTGTTACAGTTACAGTTTTATATTCGACTGAGTCTCCCAGAGTGCATAGAATATAGATGGATAGAGTGATTTAACTACGTCAGAGATTCGGTTATTAGAAATGCCTCAAAGCAAAGCTGTTCCATCAAAGCAATCAAAGCCACCAACCCAGAAACACATCTTGATTTTTTCAATAAAGGCAAGTTTATTCATAAAAAAAACTCATAAAACTCATTTATTTTTGCAAATAGGCTTTTAAAAAACACTTTCACACGTCCCAGTATTAACTCTACCACTGCGACGGGACAATAAATGGGCCAGTGCTGAGAAGAAGCAGCGCATGAATCTCAGTCACTATTCACCATACCTATATTTTCAGCAAACCTGGAGCAAAATGCATTTACCCAGTGGGCAGACTTGCTAGAATTTGTAGTGCTATAATAAAGCCTAGCCTACGGTCGTTGACTTCTTAGACTTACGTGTGGTCCTGCTGAAACTATAATCCCCCCTACGCTTCTTTCATGACACAGTTTAAATTTAGTGTTGTCAAAAGAAAACAAACCATTTCTTTTATTAGCTAATGTGTTATTATAACTTCGTGTAGGACATTTATTATAGCTGTGAACTGTGAAACCACACTTATGACGAGAACAAAACCATCAGTATCATCTGAATGTTTGATATAAAAAGACGGCCACACTTCTTTGAACCAACTATCGGTTTCATCGGTCTCCCTTTGATCATCTGCCCTATATTTAGATAGAAACAAATGTTATTTTAATAAATTCCTGGTTATCAAACTGGCAATACCCCAAAGACTGGGTAGGTACCTACAGGTGTGCACTGAACCGAATTCAAGTTTTGTTTTATACGTACATTTAAAAGTGTATGTATTTTTAAACAGTCTGCTTGATCGGGATTGAAAATAGCCAAGGTTGATCTCTAAATAATCAACCGCTTGGAAGGAAAGCGTAGGTTTTAAATGTTTGAATATATTCCACCAATAAATTGGAAGTGAAATTAAAACGTGTGAATTGCTCAATTATAAAAATCGGCAGTACTTTTTCCAGCTAGGTAGTAGGTACAATTAATTTGGGGAGCTGTAGGTATTCCTCTAGTCCTCTTGATTTGTAATACATAATAAACTATCTGTTTAAATTTAGTTGTGTTTGGATAGCTAGATGATATTTTTACAATGCCTGACGATCTTGATAAACAATGTTTACAAAAGAAGAAATTTTTTTGTTCAAAATTTTCTCGCTCTTTGAACTATGAGGAGTCATTGAACGTTTAAAAGTCTACGTAGGCGGTTGACGTATAACAGCAACATTTTTCAACTTATGGGCGGAATCCGGCGTCATAGGCCTGAGTAACATCTGAAGATTGAGGGTTTCTGTCGACGGGCCCACGCGTCTTCGCCGGACGAATTCATAAACATTCATTTTCGTTGCACCCGGCTCTAGGATGGATGGACGCATTGTTGCAGTTTAAACTACAACATATCAGCTGTCCATGGTGCAGACACCGTGGCAAAACAATTGGTGTGAATCACGTCAAACAAACACGAACACGGACTTCAGCGAATCACGGTATGGCTCATGCGGTCAGCATACAGCATCACAGTCAACACAGCCAGTAATAGACCAATCTTCCAGAAATCTTATAAGCAAAGAAAGTTAAACCCTAATTCTGATTCCTTCAGCCCAATTTTGATGATGATTATTTGCAAATTACCATAATAAGTAGGATCAATTTTAGGTCTTAGTAAGGTCACCCGGGGTGAAAGCAACTACGAAGCTAAAGTGACTACCTAAGTAATTGGTGGTATTCTTAATCTGATGGAGTTTGAACAAAGTGTCATCAACGTTGAAGCATCATCATATCAGTCATAGGACGTCCACTGCTGAACATAGGCCTCTTGTAGTCTCACTGTTGAAGCATAAAAAAGCAATAATTACTCTGTGAATTTGACGAATTCTTCACCCTTTAATTTCTGATTTCATTTCAGTAAAATATGGTAAGACTAGCTTTCCGCCCGCGGCTTCGCCCGCGTGTAATTTTGTCTTTCACAGAAAAACTTTATCACACGCGTTCCTGTTTCAAAAACCGGGATAAAAACTATCCTATGTCCTTTCCCGGGACTCAAACTATCTCTATGCCAAATTTCTTCAAAATCGTTTCAGTGGTTTTGGCGTGAAAGAGAGACAGACAGACATACAGAGTTACTTTCGCATTATAATAATATTAGTATAGATATAAAGAGTTCTCTTTGTTGATATTTTTGACTACGGAACTCTGAAACGTTTTTAAAACTTACATGTCATGTTTGGAGCATCCGTAAAGTATTCTGACCGTGATAATTACCCTCCCGGCGGTATTTATAGCCGTTGTTTATTTTTAACTTTGTAGTAGTCCCAACAATGACGTTGACTCTGAAGAGAGTAGAATTGCACGATTTTTTACTGTCAGACATTATAATGTGGGCAGGGAACGTGTAAGTCGTTTACAAGGTAATTGGTCCTATCAACATTTAGACAGCTAGACGTGTACACGAGTAAATAATTTCTGTATTTTTTTACTTTTGCCAAAATTAATGCCAAGTCCCTAACAACATAGTTATCTAATTTTAAGTAGGTAGGTAGGTAAAGTAAAATGCAAAAAAGTAGAGTACGTATCTGGTTATTTAACTAAATTTAGCTAGTTTCATCTTAAGGTTTGAGCTAGATAGAGATTAGGTGAAATCTATCCAGATAAATCCCAAGCCTAACAGTATAAACATCTCAAAAGTAGTTAGGTAAATATTTCTGTGAAGTAATGAGGATCATTTCGATTTTTAGCTGTGAATGCAGATTTATAGGGCTAAGAAATCCTTAATACACAGTCCAAAAATTTTTGTTCTACGACAAAAATTGACGAAGTTATGGCCAAATTACTAAAAAAGTTCACTGACCGCCCGGCGCGGGGACGATGACGTCATTATATCCGATCCGAACGCTGCCGGCGTACTGCGTGGATAGAAAATATTTTTTTCTAGCCAAACTATCAGTTTTAGAGAAAAACTTGTAATGACATTTATTCATCAGAATAAAGTAAGCTATCGATAGGTAATTTTTAAAAATAGAAATTGTGAAAATATCGCAAAAAATCCATACGCTCATACGATTCAATGGTTTTTTTCTAAAACTGATAGTTTAGCTGGAAAAAAATATTTTCCATCCCAATAGTACGCCGGCTGCGCTCGATTCGGATATAATGACGTCATGCGGCCCTGCGTACGTTGACTTTTAGCGGCAAAAACGGCCAATGTTTATTACTTAATATCTTCGTAAGTAATGGTCCGATTTGGATAATTCAAAAAGATATATCTTTCTTATGTCTTAAAGATTAACGTAGATACTAGTTTTATTGAATTTTCTACAACAGTACTGATCCTCATTATCACTATCGAAGCTGTAGATTCTGGCAATACAAGAGACGCAGTGATAGGAACGAGGGTTGATATAATACAGTGTGGATTTTTTTTAAGTCACCTGGAGGGGGAAGTAGGAAATCTTTGAACGCAGTTTTCTATCTTCTAAAAATAAAGGAATGTTTTCTTTGAGTAAAATTTTCTTTCTACTGTTAATTGTGAAAAATATAAAACGTTAAAATAGCGGTATCGTTATAGCCAATGAGATGCTGTCATAGTGACATTGACAATACGTCAATGTCACACGAGAATCAAACGTCAGAATAGCGGGACGCGCGGAGATGACTCCCCGCGCTTTTGTGCTAAGTGATGAATTGTAATTAAAATAAGGCAATATAATGTATAAGATGAGTATCCAGTGTTTTATTTATGAGAATAGATCTACCGGCCTCTAATAGTTCAGAAGTGAGATCTGAAACCTATGATAGTAACGTGATTTCAAAGTGTTCCAGGTGACCAATGTTTCGTGTTATTTGTCACGAATATTAACACAAAACGCCCACGATTCTATGGTTCTAATTGAATATGATGAAGAGAGAATGTCATGGAAACCACGCTGACAAAGGTGTGAGATGCAGAAAAGTATTTAAGTACGAGAAATGATGGACGCAAATTATGAACATACTCCCTCCGTAACTTGGCTTGTGGTCACGTAAGTGGTGAACAATTTGACTAACGATGGCCCCAGAGCAGGTACGATTTATTATTATTATCGATTATTCCAACAACAACAATATTAACACATTTCCTTTTTGAGCAAAATAATGCATGAAAGTGAATGAAGCATCAAATGTTATAGGTATTGTCAGTCTTTACTGATAATGCCAGGAATGTGTGTGAAAGCTATGGTATGTGCTCACTTTAATTGCAATGCCTAATAAACTATTTTAGTAAATCAAATTAAATTGAACGGTGTTCATTTGTTCATGTTTACATTCTGCAAAGAATAACTTGTTGAGATTTAAAATCTATAAAGAATAGATAGAATTTGGTCAGATAAATTAAATAAGTTTGGTGATCATGCCCGAGTAACCTCTTGGCATTATTTTGGAGAAGAATTAATAATTAGTTTTATTCAAGTAAATTGAAGCTAAGGTCTGTGTTGTGTAAACCAGTTTTAGTATCATGATGTTTCTTTCTTGATGTTGAGCACTATAAGATGAGATAAAATCTATTAAATAGCTTAATTTGTAAATTGAAATTAAGTAAAGCAGCCAGTCATGCCGTTGAACATGTGGTGTATTTTTGGTACTCTTATAGTGATTGATGCTTCAATTATTGTGAAACATAATTATTATTATGTTACATGATGCTATATTTTGAGTAAAGATAATGTTAATATTGAACTTTTCCAACTTATCAATTAATTTCTGCTGCCAGTAGTGATTTGGGTTGTATCACTAAAATTGAAAATTAGTGTGGGTGATTAAAATTTATCCAATTATTATAATTAACAAAAAAAAAGATATAGAATGTGGTACATTTAACTTAAAGAGTATTCTTGTGTACCAGCCATTATTGTTGGTTATTCTTCCCACATAGTGAAAATGACTTTAATCTTGAGGTTATTTATTAGCTGTTTAATAAAAAGGTTACTGGTTGTAGCATGTTGTGTGTGCATATTTTTAGATTTGACTTGAGTTTTAGATATGGTGACTTATCTGTCTGCGGGTTGGCCCTGTGGTGAGCAAATCAGTCAAGCACAATACCTGAGTGAAGCTGAACACTGAACAAGGGGTACTTCACATAAATGATTTGGAGTTGGACAGAAGGAAATGCAATACAAAAGGGCATCAGCTGTGATATTTGGTGAGTGAAAATGTAATACAAAAGGAATTAGCTGTGATATTTGGTGAGTTGAATTAATGTTTTATTGCAAGGGTTGAGCTGAGACTAGCAGTGCCACTGCGGCTTGGTTGTTTAACTGTGCTTATTCTTGTCATTGGCATGAAATTGCATACAATTAACTTGAGTGTGAACAGATTGTAATAATGAATTGGCTACAGTCTACTGCTAGACTTTAGAACTTCCCAACTGCCGCTAACAGTCTTAAGCAAAAAGTTATTATTAATAATGGTGAATAAGAGAGTGATGTGTTTGAATAGAAATAAATGCTTATCATTGGTCATTAGCATTGGCCTATTGTGTGGTATACTGCTGTACTGTGCGAAAGTTAGCTATTTACCCGACTGCACCAGAAGGAGGGTTATGTTTTTTTAATAATGTTATCAATGGAGCAAAGTACTAGCAGTGATCAAATAAAGTTTATATTGGTGATGATTGTGTTGTGTGCTTCCCTGTAATGACTGGGTTAACAACAGATACTTGAATATGAAGTCAGTTGCATTGTGGGTGAATTTTGGCCAAGCATGAGAAGAGAAGTATTGTACTTGTTAAATTAAAGTTCTTGGATATTTCCATGAATGCTTGTTCCTATTTGAGGATGGTAAGTTCATGGAAGTATGTGCAGTTTCCAAAGATAATAGTTGGAAGTGTATTGCTGTCAACACAACAATAACAGTAAGTTTATTATGATAAAGTTGCATTTGTGTGTGAAGCAAATTTGTGTTCACTAAGACACAATGTTAAGCATAAATTGTTTCACTGTTTATTACTGGCATTATTATTGATGATGATGATTTATGTAGTTGTGTTATTCATCTTAATATTTTAGAGTTTACATTGAAATATTTTATTATTTAAATAAAGATAATTTTAGCAAATTTCTTATGATGTTGTGATTATGGGAATGGTTTGAAAATAATAATAATAATAATGGGGGTATGATGTACTATGTGAGGATCATACACCAGTGGGCATTGTCATGAAACTGGGTGGACTTTGTCATTTTGTGTGAGATGGATGTCCTGATAGCTGTGTGAGGAGGACATGTGGCATTGTCTTGAAACTGTGTGGACATTGTCATTCTGAGTGGGATGTCTGTGTGACATCAGGAATTGTGAAGATGTCGTGTCTTGTGTGGGAGACATCATGAACTATGATGTTTTGGCTTGTGTAGCGACATCATAGGGCTGTGTGGCGAGGCGCAAACTGTGTGGAATGGCCTAATCTGTGTGGGTTTAAAGAGAAAATGTTAAAAGAACCATAACCAATCCCATAAATCATTTAGGTCCAATAGTATTTATTTTAATTGTATTGCATTGTATAACTTCATTAAAATTACGTCATTAGGAGTTCACAATGTTCTAAATTAATTCTGAATAATACCGAAGAGAAGAGGCAGTATCATGAGCAAATGGAGAACCTACTGAGAAAGGCATACGCCGGGCGCTGTAGTGGTGACTTCGTGGAAAGCTTCAACGACATCGAGCAAGCAAAGAAGTGATTTTTCAAGTGGACGAAGACCACAGGAAGGCGGTCTTCCATGTCCGGAACTGGAACAGCAACAACGACAGACTGCTAGCAGTCGCCCCGAGCGGCAGGCGCGCCGCGAAGAAAGGAGCGACTCCCCTAGAAGCTCCTGAAAAGCAGTGGCGCCTCAAGACCGGATGGGACGAGCCCGTGCTGGAAAACGTCGCAGCATACTTCGAGAAATGGCTGTCAGACCTGCAGATTATGAAGAGACTGCGTATTCCTCGATACTACTACGGGGGGGAGATGAATGAAACTCCGAGAGCTGCACAACTTCTGCGATGCAGGCGAGGAAGCCTACGCCGCCGTTGCGTATTGGCACCTCGCTTACAACGACAGAAGGACGCGGAAGTTGTGCTGGTAGCTGCTCGTGTCAAAGTGGCTCCAGTGAAGACACAAACGATATCGAGGTTGGAGCTACGAGCAGCATGAACGGAAGTGCATCGGCTGCCTGTAGAAGTACACTATCTACTGGAGTGACTCCTAAACTGTGCTGCATTGGCTGCGGAACCGAAGCCGCCGCTATACACCCTACGGAGCGCATCGACTTGAAGAGATCACCGAGGAGACAAGGCTGTCGGAGTAGCGTTTGAGTACCCACTCACTTGAACGTAGCCGACGTGGCGTCGAGAGCGGTATACGTGCCTACATCGGAAGAGGATGAGTTGTTCCAAGGGCCGTCGTTCCTTAGAAGACCGAAGTCTGGATGGCCACGGCAAGAAGGCAAGGACGATGACGTGACAACCGAGCAACACCGCATCTCGTCACTGGGAAGATCGAGGATAACGAGACGGTCACATCGGACCTCTCGCTTTGAATATTCCAGAACATGAGAGACAGAGCTGGCAATATCGCGAGAAAAAGGGAAGAGTATAAGATAAGGAACAGGGCATTCCAGCTGACTAGTTTAATTCAGATAAGAAGCGAGTTAAGAAATCATAGTGGTCGAAAAGAAAAATTGAAGAACTCAGAAATAAAGCTGTTTACAACAAGTACTCTGCCTTCAAGATTTATGCCGGTTCCTAGCCCACGAACATGCAGTCCACTGCTCATCAACAGTGAGGGTTCTTTCCATTCTTGGAAGTAGAATGGGTTACAGTTCTATGATTTGGAGTTTATCGGAACCATTAAGTTGTATTTTTGTGGTGGTTGAACAAACCTGATAGAAACCTTGGATAAAGGCCTAATTGGGCATCAAAGGATGAGTTTCTTCGGTGGTAACATTTTGGGCATATGAGCTATGGTGCCTAGATTAAGATGGCATGTGTGTGATCGACATTATTGTCATTATTGAAGCAGCTGATTCTAAAATATTGAACGAAAAGATAATTGTGGTAGCGTCTGTATGACCATTGGCGTGGCGCTACTGATTGAGGAGCACGCTGAGCTTCTAGATGATATGGATGTGCTGTGTGATGATATAGATGTACCGTGTGACGATGATATAGATGTATTGTGTGATGATTTCTCGTTTCAGCAGAACCAAAGGTGGTCAGCGTGTGGTGCGAATGGTGATGGAGATGGCAAAGTGGATCTAGCCAGGTGCTCAGCTGGATCCCAATACGAGGCGTCAAGTGTGCCATGAGCAGACCTTCGAGGGCGAAGGAATTGCAGGAAGGCCGAACTGTTAATTGTGAAAAATATAAAACGTTAAAATAGCGGTATCGTTATAGCCAATGAGATGCTGTCATAGTGACATTGACAATACGTCAATGTCACACGAGAATCAAACGTCAGAATAGAGGGACGCGCGGAGACGACTCCGCGCGCTTTTGTGCTAAGTGATGAAATGTATCTAAAATAAGGCAATATAATGTGAAAGATGAGTATCCAGTGTTTTATTTATGAGAATAGATCGACCGGCCTCTAATAATAAGAATATACTAAGGTTACGTTAGAAAGAAATTAAAAGCAAGACACTGCATGTCTTGTGGGTTTTGAACAAATATAATCTTTCATCCTCCTTTTTATATGTGAAAACTTGAGATAAAGAATTGACAGTGAAGATCCAACCTAAGTCAAAATAGATCTTTAACAATTTTACCATAATTAGTTACTTCTAAAACATATAAAAAATCTTTTTGTCTTACCCCAGCGGGTTAACTCTGAAAAACGTAATCCGAAGTTTCTAATGTTGCCATCCCTCTCACGCAAATCGAGATGCCTGCATTAGCCGCGATGACAGATAAATCCGAAATTACGTAAACAGCGTTTCGGATAGCCCTGTATACCTCAAACTATCTCTACATAAAATTTCGTCTTCATCAATTCAGTGGTTAAATCATGAAAAGGTAACAGACAAAAAAGAGAGACAGAGCTACGTGGAAGTATGGATGGTTACCTTTGAACCTGAAAACTTACGGTAGATTGATTTGAAATATGAATTTTATAGCTTTCCGCCCGCGGCTTCGCCCGTGTGGAATTTTGTCTGTCACAGAAAGACTTTACCGCGCGCGTCCCTGTTTCAAAAACCGGGATGAAAACTATCCTATGTCCTTTCCCGGGACTCAAACTATATCTATATGCCAAATTTCATCAAAATCGGTTCAGTGGTTTAGGCGTGAAAGCAAGACATACAGACAGAGTTACTTTCGCATTTACAATATTAGTAGGATTATTTCCTTGATATCCGGAGGTTTTCACCATTATTCTGACCACTCAAAGCGTTTCCCTTAATAATAGAAGCGTTAGTGAAATGGGAAGTATCCCATACGCATTCGTTTGGTTTCGCATGCGATCGTGCGAGAAATTAGGGGCAAGTCGCCGAGTAAGAAACATGTAGATTCTTAAATTGAAATCTGTCCTGGGATGTTGAGGGAGCTTTTGTGGGGGTTGAGGGATGAGCGTACAGCGTTTTAATGGATAGGTTTGGATTCAAGACTCGAAACAGTTCTAATACGAGTAGATGACTATGAAAATATAGATTTTCCCAGTGAATTCGATTTAGTCGGAAAAACATTAGTTTACCGTGTTTACGAGTATGTTTAATTTGGTAACATTATTAGAAACACTTCTTTAGTTACTTTATCTTAGAAAATGCTTAGTTATTTATTTCAACTCTTTAAATTTAAGCAATTTCGATATCCGACTACAATGGCAATTTTTTACTTCTGCAAATGTAAAAAAAGTACATTACATCAACAAGTATGTATTTGTTGTTGATACTGATATTTGTCATGAAGATGTGTACGTCAGTGCTGCGTTATCTATCGAATCGAAAGTCGCGTAAGTTTTTCCACTTACGCCACCCATAATAATGTACGTTATTTCGTGAAGTGAGTCTCACATAGTGAATACGTAATTCAGGCAACCTTTTGGTGCGTAAGGTTTTGACTGGCATTTTTGTGTATCCACCCCGATTTCGGTTAGAAACGTTGTGGGGGGATTATTTGACTTTGAGAGTGTACTTTGTAAAATGGTTACGATATATTTGGCTCTATCCGTCTTTTTTCCTCGCACCAGAATGGTGCTGTGAGGAAACGAGAGTAAGAAAGCCGATATATTCAAATCATTTAACAAAGTAGACCTTACTTTAGTAAACGATAGAACCATAGAAGTACTAATGATTGAAAGTCCTGTTTTAGAATTAAAGATTAAGGCTGAGTACTATAATTTAACTGTGACTATAACCATAACATAATCGGAGTTTTTTTATGTGGAGTTTGACAGATTTTTGACGTTTGTTAAAGTTAAAATCAGACGGTGCCTTAGTAGCTTAAATATTACTTGTGATTGTCATTTGTTTAATTTAAGCTCTTATCGATGAAATAACTTCCCCGGCCTCTACCAGTAACTTCAACCTTCTTTATTCTTTCACTTGGTTCTCGCCCTTCTTTTATGCCTTATGACCCTTAATTAATAACGTCTGATATGACTTAATCTTACCGACGGCTTAGGCTAAGAACACATGGCGCGATTGTCACCTGCGCCCGCGGCGGTTGCGGGCTGCTTCTGTAGAATGCAGATATTTTATGTAAAAACTAGTGCACAACTCACGACGCAGTTTTCGCCCGCAGCGGGCGCGGTTGTAATCGGGTCCCGCTCGGCGGTTTTCGCCCGCGCGAAAACCGCGATCGGCGGGCGACCATTTTGTACCAGTGACTTAGCAGACTTAGCACGCGGCGCGATTTAAAATCGCGCCGTGAGTTCTTAGAATAACCGTGCAAATAATCGCTCCCGTGAGTTTTGAAATAAAACCGCAATTCCACAACCGAGTTCTTGACTTTAAAGTGACAGAAGAAGCATGTAGTTGTTTCTTCAGTTCACCAAGTTTGACGACACCATTGCCAAGTCGCAGTCCCCATTCAAGCACACGTCTGCCCCCATTCCCGTTGGATATTAGAGTCTATTAGTTGTCTGTGATATTGGTTCAATGCCAAGTGTGACCAGCTTATGGACAGGTCATTTTTTTACTCTCGGATTTTTATTTATTTGGTGCCTACTAAAGGAAATCATTCAGGCTCCATACTTTTGGGATTTTTTTGGAAGTGGCCGGCCAAAAGAAAGGGTATCGACGGTTAGTACTAGTCGTTACCTGCAATAGTTAATATGGTACCAAAGTTGTAGAATTAATTTTAAGAATGTTACAGACGTTCGAAGATTGTAATTTTCATTATTCATTTTCCACCAGTAAAGCCTTGTTTCTAACTCAATCCCACTATTTATTTACACACTTTTTCACTTACCTTATATGTTTCCATGAGTCGAAATGGTTGCAAAGTAATTTATTTCTCTCTGTTCGATTTCCGTTTAGTAATACGAACAAATCTAGACTTCCAAATCGAATTGGAAGTAACCCTTCTTTACTTTTTCGTTAACCATCTCTCCTTGGGAAATTGGGTACCATTATCATGACAGTAAGTGCTTTTAGTTTGCATTCGAGGCGTATCGTTAGTCGAACGTTTTTAACTTGGGTAAAAGTTGCCTGTTACTCTAAGTTATATGGTTACAATGTGGTAGATTTTGGAAAGTTTCCTTTGAAAAGACTTATTGTAATACACTTTACTTGTTATAATACACCCACGCTGAAGTCGTACTAGTTATTGTTTAGTAAAATACCTTGTTGTATTTACCTACAAAATAGCAATATTTAGAGCCTTAGGAAAGGTATAAGCCATAAGCTTTTAAAACTGTGAGACAGTTTTTTTTTCATTTATTTGACACTAAAAGACAGTTACATTAGGACAATTACATTGAATTGCTGTTTGCGTATACCTTTCATAGTATTTATCTTTCCAATCAATGACA